GGGGCTCGGGGCGGGCTGCGGCCCAAAGTCTGCCCTGAGCGGGCTTTTTGCAGCTTCCGGGAAGAGTTCGGCGGCTCCGATTAGCAGTGTTTTTAGGCGTGATAATTACTCCTTGATCTTTCACTTGGCAGTTCCTCTTCAGTTGCATTTTTTAATATGTGTAAAGTGTTTATTTTCTTACTTATTGATGATCAGTGTGTAAAAAAGGAAACCCCTCACGCCGTCCTATCCGACCCACTGGTAAATATGCAAATTCAACTGAAAATAGCTTTTGTCAGAATAACGTTAAAAGATACCATGCAGAACAAAGCCTATTTCCCGGTTGCTAATGCCTTTCTCATATAGTCTCATGCTTGCTAATGGCCTGTTGTGTTAATTTGTAAGATGTGTAAACTGTGGAGTATACACAGACCTTTTTGGAGATGACGTGTCTATTCTCTTGCTCCCATTTTCATAGAAGTGTGTTTTGGCATGCAGCCTGTTAGAATTGCAATGCTAAAAGGTTATCGTGTGCTTGTCACACACAGACAGTGTGTGACCACTGTGAAATTATTTTGGAACTGTAGGTAGGCTGAAAAGTGGCTCTGGACTGTAAGTTTGTCCACCTGTCCTAGTAGGATAGTTCTCAAATCCAAAATTAAACATTAATGCTATTAGCAGTTTCACTGCTTGTCACTGTCAGACAGACTTCTGGTACATCTGTCTGATTCTAGATCAGTCCAAGTTTCCTCACACAGCAAACAAATAATAATACTTGATTTTATTCTGCTGCCTAAATAATTTTTTCTGTCTTCTGTTTCTAACTCTTCAACGCAAATGGCTGCATTGTAAATGTTAAAAAAAAAAAGAAAAAAAGCAACACATACTGAAAACTATACAGAGATAACATGAACATGACCTTAATCTAAAAATGATATAATTAAACTTATGCTATTTTAGCATTCTTATCTCTGTTTTAATTTTACTTCTTTAGTTTGAATGTGTGTTTGTAGAATTTTCAACTTCTTCTGCTTTGCCAGTTTGCTGCAAAATACTCTGTCACACTGTGTAAGATGTAGCTTTTTTAATGCCGAAGAAGCATGTAATCGGCACATTAAAAAACCATAAATGCCCTAGTATGCCTTTAAATGCTAATGAAGTTCTTTACATCTATGAGATATTCTTGTATACACTTGATAAAAATCTTGAATTTTCTAGAGACAATGGTACCAAATTAAGGGGAGGAGAGTGCTACATTAATAGCAAAACATTTATATTTTACCAGGTAACAGATTGGTTGGCACGTTCATTTGATGACTTCTTTGGAAACACAAATATTTCTTCTAGTGCCGTTCCTGTGAAGCCACTAGAAGGCAAGTCTGGAAGAAACCGGCAGCAGAAGAAGAAAGACCTGTCTTCTGTGCCAGAAAGTAGCAAAACCAAAGTTCTGCCCAGAAAAAGAGCAAAGTTGTCTTCAGTGGATGTGCCTTGTAACAAGTCCAGACAAAACTGGAGCCAGTCTCAAGATGAGCCATGGGTAGATAGATACAAACCTGAAACTCAGGTATGAGAATTATTCTAAGTGCTAATGTAGTTGTAACATTGTGGTATAACATGTCGTTCTTATGTTCATAATCTGTATTGATCAGGTTCTAAGTATATTCTCTTTTATTAGAGCAGTGAAGTACTAGTTCCGTTTATGTACTGCCTGTATTTAAAATTTTAACAAGGTATTTATCTGTAGGAGATGCATTTTTCCCCAGGCTTCCTGACGAGATAAAGCTACTGATGAGATGTTGTTTCCTGTCCATCCACTCCTAAACTTTTGAACCTGTTACTGAATTTCAGCCAGATCTGACAGCTACAAGTACTAGGAAAATCCAGAGCTAAAGGAGAGAGAACTGAGTTAGTGCACTCATTATGGGAAAGATAAAAGAAATTATCTTGCAGTTAGCTGGTCTGTTAGCATGTTCACAGTACTTGACTAATTGCAGTTTGTGCTATCTCTTGCTTGCTTTATGCATCTGATAAAAAAAAAACCAACCCAACCCCAAAATGGTTGTTTAAGGAAACAGGCTGAAATGTCATAAACATACATAACTGGAATATGCATGTACATGTCTGTTGATGTTTTAGCATATTTTCTGTTCTTGAATCTCATCATTACAGTCTTAGAAACCAAGAGGTGTATATATGCATTTCATATATTTTAATCTTGTTTTAGAGTGATCTTGCTGTGCAAAAGAAGAAAATTGAAGAAGTTGAAACCTGGTTAAAAACACACATATTTCAGAGGCAGCCAAAGCAGGTAATCTTGCTAAAATTTGCTGCTAGAGATATAAAACCGTACAAATGAGCTGGATGCAGTTTTATTTTAATTTCAGAGAAAAACCTTAACTTACAGGTAGTAACTATACATCTGTTGCATTATTAGAAATCCATTAAGAACACAGATTAGAGCTTGTACGTTTGTTTAAGGCTTATGCTGCTAAAGGTGGATTCTGGTTTTGCTCAGAAATACTATTTTCTAGCATCCATTCAGTTCATACCTCCTTAGTGTGTGCCTGTACAGCATTTTATCTCTCACAGATTAATTTTAAGTATTTTGGCAGATTTCCAGTTGCACTGACTTGAGGTACTAGGACATTTTTAACCTCTTGCTTGATAAGAGGCATTCTTATACACATGCATCATTTACCAGCCTTGTCTACTATTTTTCAGACCTGATTCTCCAGTTCAGTATGTATTATGTTGGTAGTCTACATGGTGTGCAGTTAACAGATACATTAAAAACTGAGCGCAAGTCTTTTGGAGTTCTGGTCTAGCTCTATCAATTACACAAAATATTTAAGTATTCTGATATACTTGTTAACTCAGTTTTTACTGGGAGGAGAGAATCATTACCAGAGAAACCATAGAAGAAATTCAGCCAATATTCATCTTCATGTTTGGGACTTTTCATTTTTTTTTTCTTGTGACAGGGTGGCTCTGTTTTACTGCTAACTGGTCCTCCTGGTTGTGGAAAGACTGCAACTATACAAATATTAGCAAAAGAACTTGGCATTCAGGTGCAAGAATGGACCAATCCAATATCTTTAGATTTTACAAAAGAAGACTTAAGAAATATGTTTGGCCATGGTAAGTATTTTGATTTTTTTTCTTTTCTTTTTTTTTTCTTCCCGTTGCTTTTGTGATTTTTGTATTCTGTATTTTTTTTCTTTTGTGTCTCTGTCACATATGAAGTCAGATCCACATCCATATAAGCTAGATCCTTAGTGTTACTAAGAATCTCTTTTGCTTTTATCTGAAAAGGGATTTAGGTTTTTTTACAGTGTTTACTACAAAATAATTTGCAGTTTGAATCAGTATAAAGAGCTACGTAATAGCCTGGATATCATTTGAGCCAATTAAATAAAAATAGGTAAGTCTGTATTTGTCTGTGTCCTCAATTGAATTCTACCCGTTAAAAATTCTATTTGTAATGTGTTTGGGAAAGGGCTTGGCTGGTTTTCAATGGCTACTGTCAGAAAATAGCATGGATGGGTATTAGTTCTTGTGGGTATTTGTATTCTACTTGGTATAATATAGAACACATTTTTAATTAGTTTTCTTTTTCAGACTCAAATTTTCATACATTTCCGAGTCAGGCCCAAGCAGCTCTCTTTCAAGATTTTCTACTAAGAGCAAATAAGTATAACAAACTTCAGATGCTTGGGGAGTCCTCAGAAAATGATAAAAAGCTTGTTCTTGTTGAGGTAAGTGAAAACTTGTGAAATCTTGTTTTGAAAACAATACCTTTTATAATAACATTGACATGCTAACTAGCTTCGGTTGGTGGACTGGTGTTGCCAGAAGTTAGTCTGCTTTACTGCAGATGAGTTCTTTATTACTTTTTGAGTCTCTACAGCAGGCTAGAACCAAACTCTACCTGTAGTTAAACTATATAAGATAATAGTCAGAATTTGGAGACTTGTTTGAGTACAGAAACAAGTAACAGAAAATCAAAAAGTAGATCAAAGCAATATTGAAAAGTCATACCCATGTTTCTATCTGATTAGCTTTCTAGCAATATATATGTGTATAAACAGGAAGAAGGACCCCCCCACACACTATTCTTGTTACTTAAGGACACAGGAGAGCGTAGAAGATAATGTGAGAATTAGTACAATCAGAAAGGATTTGAAATTTAGCATTCCCTGGTGTTAACGTGGGCAGGAGGGGGTTGTTTAGGGCAGAGATGTGAACTCTGAGGGTTTGTAAGCCGTAACGGGAGGTACAGGAGAAGACTTTATTTTTACTTATTCAGGAGTGTATTTCAGTAGCATTTTATTTCTAAGCTTTTCAGGTTTTTTTTCCTGACAGAGGAATTTTGTGATAGTTGAGTTATCTGTAAACTTTCAAGAAAAAGAATAGATGAGATAAAAACTGTAGCTGAGTTATGTGATGTATTGTAGAATTGAGAAGAGCATAGTTTACTTTCTCTTCATGAAGTCACTTCCTTGTGTAGTTCCTCTCATATCTCAAGTAGTACATCCTGCCCTCTTCCTCAGTGAAGCTGCTACCTTGAGTGTTTATCTTCTGAGTAAAACTCATGATTGTAGGCAGTGTAATCACCCAAAGCTGTTTCTTAGGAAACAATGACAGAAAGAAAAATGTTTCTTTTTAGAGATTTTTTTTTTCCCATAATAAAGAAATGCTATGCTTTGGGGTTTTTTTTCCTTTGACACCCCCCCCCCGATTATCTTCAGTGTTAGCTTTAAATTAAATTTGAATGTGGCTAACTAACTAGGAAGAAAAAATGTGTAGCAATGTGGTGTGCTATAACTGTCTGTAGGAGAGAGTATTTAAATCTGAATATCATGACAGCAGTTCATTTGTTTTGAATAGGACATACCTAACCAATTCTATCGAGACCCCAGCAGTCTACATGAAATTCTCAGGTGAGTTGCAAATAAGATTTTAGTTATTAGCTTTAGCCACTTGCAGTTAACTGGAGTTTGATTCTTGTTATATTTGCTTATTTTTCAATTTAGGAGATTTGTTCGTACAAGTAGATGTCCCATTATATTTATAATCTCAGATAACTTCAGTGGAGACAGCAACCAGAGGTTACTATTCCCAATGGAAGTTCTAGAGGAGTTGTGTATATCCAATATTAGGTAAGATCCTTTTATCTCATTAAAACTTGATTGAAATGAATGAGAAGTCAGAAACTAATTAATTTTTTTTAAATGAAATTCAACAGTTTCAAGCCTGTTGCACCAACAAATATGATGAAAGTTCTTAATCGAATAGCTGCAACAGAAGCTAGTATGGTAAGTTGTCAAAACTGGTAACTTCTGTGCAGTGCTAGGATGAAAAGATTTCAGACTTTTGTATCTGAAATATGTTATTTATATTTGTTATTGTATTTGTTTGATCTTTAATAGCAGACCCCTGCACGTCCCAAAAAACCCCACCAGTCTTCTCCAACAGAAAACAAGGAACAAACTGGAAAGATGTCTTGTTTTTAAAATCAGTTCTACTTGATCCTTGTTCTAAGTCTTCAAAGTTACTTCTGAAAATTCTTCTGCCTATTACAGAAGATATATATATAAAATGAAACAAATAATAGGAATAAAAGTAATTTTCATTCCAGCAAGGCCAGAAGAGGTCATGAATGTAAATCCTGTGTTATTCCTGAACTGGTTTGATTAGAACCAAGTCTAATATTGAGTGACACCTTGCAAAGAATTATGTGCATTATTGTCTTTAATATTGCTATATAAAAGGTGGCAACATGCTTAAATGGATTAAATGTTTTAAAGTTAGGTGTATTACATGGTTTTAGCACATGGTGGGTGCTCATGTAGTCTCTTGATGGTGTGTATCAGAGGTGGGTCCCCACTGCCAGAATGATATTAAAATACTCCTTTTTCCTTCTTTTTCTTATTACTTTGAATGTTGCTTTTCCTTGTAGAACAGAGAAAAGAATTATGCTCTTGACAGAACTTCTCTGGAGTTGCTCTGCAAAGGTTGTTCAGGTGATATAAGAAGTGCAATAAACAGTCTTCAGTTTTCTTTTATGAAAGGTAAATAACTATGGTTTTGTTAAGTGAATGACATTTTGACCATTTCTGCTCTGAAGGTATTCTGTTCATTGTTGCAGCACGGCTAGGTGAGGTGTGCAAAATATTTTTGACATGCTGCTCTGGAGCAGGGATTAAAGACACAAAGTTTTGTGTATTTGTGAGGTTTTTGGTTTTTTTAAAGCTGAAAGTGTTTAATTTCATGGGTTATATGTAGTCTTAAAACTGAGTAGTATCTACATGTATGTTGATGTAATTTAATGAAATGCCCTCATTTCTTGGTATCTTTGCTACTGGTGTGTGTTAACTGATCAAAGCTTTTATGATGCATCCCTTAATTGGAAAGGGATATTTTCATTGCTTGGTTCTTTATACTTCTGTATGTCCTTATCTCTACCCTTAAAGCATTTCTCAAATAGCTCATTGACTTTGTATACAGCATTTCTGTAATGATTGATTTTGCCTGGGAGTTCCTACAGCTGTTCGTAAATTGAAAAGCTATGAGGTTGCATGACCTACTGTGAATTTATTGAGTGTATTATAGAATAACTTTGAAGTTCAGTGTTTTAGTAGTCTTCAAAATACTTGCTTGGACAATGCTCAAATCAGACCTAGTTTAGAATTATTTTAAATGTTTAACAACATAATTTTAAATGTTTAACAACATAAAACAAGAGACTCGCTGTTATGTCTTTAATAAGCATTGGAAGTCAATAATTGTTAAGATACCAATGTATGTGAGTTACAGAATCTATTGTTTTTAAAAGTAATACTCTGGCATGCATAGTTCATTCTAAGAACTGTCAGATGGTGCCAGCATTTATATTCAACCTAGAAATAAGGAAGTGAATTCAACAGTTGTCTATTGTATGTTGTAAAGCCAGCAATGCTCTTGTTGCTTTTACTCATTTTCTCTCCCATTCACCTTGCAAATAGAAAAATGTGCTTATGGAATACAGGATTAAACATAGTTTCAAGTCCTTGTTGTAGTTTGAGTTTTAGAGTGTATTGAAATTAACCTAGCTGTGTTTGTTAAATTACATGGGAGAAGGAAGGAGGGAGTCATGTTTCTAGCTTTAACTTGCAAACGTGGAAACTAAATTCTTCTGATGTTGTCTTCTAGTATACTGAGTTTGTATTGTTCTGTGTTAATCAGAAAAATAAAATTCCTCTCAGTAAAACCGCTTTTATGATAATGCCATGAAGTTAATAATTAGTAGGTTGGGGATAACTGAGAATAGTTTGCAGTAGCTCACTACTGGATGCTAAGTAGCTTCTACATATTGTAGAAAATATTAATAGTCTTAAAATGACCAGTTTGTGTATTTTTGAAAAAAATTACCTTGGAAATGTAAAAACATGAGAGTTATAAAGAGAACTTGGGAGAAAACAAAGGCACATGGCTTGACAGCTTGTGTACATGACATCTCAGAATCATGTACTCAAGTCATAACACACTGAGCATTCTCTTCTCGTGTTTTCTGTAGCAAATTGAGAAGAGCTGCCTTCATGTTGAATATAATTTTTTTTAGTTGTTCAGGTATTTCAGTTAGGTAAATGACACTTTGTCATTTACAAAGTGACATTTTGTAGATTTTGGAGACACCTCACCTCCTCATTGATCTCCTGAGAATGCAGTATTAGGTTTTAGATTTATGTATTTTCTTCCTTCACTTGTGTATATGTGAAACACAAGCAATACATTCATTCTGTAGTAGTATTAATGGGTAAAATGGATTCATGGCAATTGTGGGAGAAAAGAAGGATAACTACTTGAAGGATAAGTTTTCTTAGCTCTATAAGGATCATTCACCTGCCACTAAATCAAATTGTGGATGAAAATTTTTGAGTTTTAAATTAGAGCAGAAGAAGGGTTTTATTCCCTGGAGCTCAAAACGTTGTGGAAATTAGTAGGCTGTTGGAAGAATCACTTAAATGAATGCTGCCTTATATTTCAGTGAGGGTATTATACAGATAATGCAAATAGAACATAAATTGATAAGTGAACAGCATGTAACTGAAATATAATTTACATATATTTGTACTTGCACTTTATAAAGAAAAATTTTTTAAGAAAGACAAGTTGGAGGTGCATTAGAACTAGAATCAATAAGCAAGAATGCTAGCTTTTTTTAAAGACACATTTATTATTCAAAAAGTACTTGGCACCTTAGCTGTGGCTTAAGGGATAGAAGTGGAATGAAGCATGCTAGTTTAGGTGACTGGGTTGTCTTCCTAATAAATGAGTTTTCTCTTAGCGCCTCATTTATATAACCTTTTCTGTTCTTTTTATTTGTTTAGAACATTAGCAGTAGCAATATAATAAAAAACTTTTTTTGGATTCATGTACTTTATCCTGATTTTATTTTTGCTTTTATTGATAGACTGTTCATTGGAGAAGGAGTTTTGGTCAAGGAAGAAAAAGAGCTCCGCACTAAAATGTGAAACAGCAGTATCTAAAGTAGGAAAGAAAAGTAAATCTGATACTTCAGAACACCAGGAAATACAAGCTATTGGTGGCAAAGATGCTTCTATCTTTCTTTTCCATGCTCTGGGGAAAATAATTTACTCCAAAAGTAAGAAAACTTTGACTTATTCTTCCTTTCAATGATCAAAGCCTGTCAGGTGCTAATAGCTAGATTTGCTAAAGTACGGCTTAGGGTGACCTCTAATTCGCAGGTTTGGTCATTGATAATGGTATAAAACCAGGAATAACAGTTTGTGGCAATTGAGACTGCAGCTGTCTGAATCTAATGGGTAAATAAACGTTTTATTAAGATGTACTACATGTATGCAATAAAATGACATAACTGTAGTTGCATTAGGTCCACATGCTGTCACGTGCATAAAGCTAGATAGATAGCCAGCACGTTTGTTACTTTGCACAAACGCAAATTTTGCTTTTTTGCAGAATTATACATTGTTGTACAGTTATGTTCTGTACTTGTCTCTATTCCTAAAGGTTACAGAACAGCCCTGCAGTCTCGTAGCTACTACCTCCCTTATTTGTGTGTCTGCTATCTTTTCCTCCCTACTTTTTATGTCAACTCCTTGTTTTCCTTTAACAGACACATATGCTCTCTCCTTTCTGACCTGAAAACCCCTTCTATTTCTGTCATACCTTGTCTCCCTTTCCACCTCCAAAATACTTTCCACCTTACTACAACTGAAAGCTCTACTTCTTACACACTCAGGTTCTGTAAATTTATAGAACCTATCTGTTCCCTGTGTATGGTTATAGTACTATATTTTTAACACTTAAAAAAACTGTACTTCATAAGCATTTGGTACTTATTAAATGAGTTCTATCTGCACTTAGCTAAATCAGGATCCACAATGCCACTGGATTTCCACGTTTTGGTAATAATTCACAATATTGATTCCAAAATCAACTAAGTGAAAATAGTGATATGAGGGAACATGAAAATAATTAGATGAAATTTGTCATACGAAGTGTAATGCAACTAATTGCATGTTGTTGACTATATGATATTGACTATATAATTAAGTACTTACGCCTGCATCAGGAGTTTTCTGGGGACTGGAAATGGTGTAATCTAGTTGCTGGTAGAGTTGACAGTTGCTAAAAATGGTGCTCAATATATGAGAAAACTACTATTCACGCAGTTACGCATCTCTGTTCTTGGTCCTATTTAATTTTTATTCTGATTTTGACTATTTAATCTGAAATGTGTGTCTTTTTTGATTATGCGCAGAAATGTAACAACATTTCTGATACTAAAACTAAAGATTGTAAAATTCTTCGTAGGAGAACCAGTGTCAGAATCAGAATTTCCTCAGCTGCTGCCTGCTCACTTATCAGAATACCGTCGAGACACCTTGCTTATTCAGCCTGAGGTACATCTGCAATAACTACTTGATTCCAGTGTGGTTTGAAAAAAAACCCAAACAAAACCAGACAAAAAGTGATTGATGCAAGTTCTCAAGCACAGTGTTTTTATCACTGATCTTGATATATATATAGATAGATATATATATATATATGTATTCGGTCTGCCTAAGTTACAGAGTAATTAATCTGGAAGGGACCTCTGGAGGCTAACTTCAAAGATAGATTAGGTTCCCAGGCTCCTGATCAGTTGACTTTTGAGTCTCTCCAGGGATAGAGATTCTCTCACTTCACTGACCAACTTGTGGTGGAAGGTGGACTTTCCCTTGCTGCAGCCTGTGATTGTTATCGCTCATTCTTTTGCTGTGCATTGCAAATAGGAGTCTGAGTTCATCTTTCCGTTACCTCCTATTAAGAGAGTTGAAGACAGCGATGGCTTCTGTCCCTCCATCCCCACCATTAGCCTTCCTGGGAGCAAACCAACTCACATTTTGTATATAAGCATCACTTCATAGGTCATGTGTGCCAGTTTCCTAATCATGTAAATGTATCATTGCTTTTATAGGATGCTTTTCCTTAAATGCTGTGTAAAACTTTTTTTTTTTTCCTCTCTAATAGGATATTGTGGAAAAATCGCATATGTCTGGAAGCATGTTTAATTTATACCTTCACCAGAACTATGTAGACTTTTTTTCTGATATCGATGATGTAGTGAGAGCCAGTGAATATTTGAGCAGCGCTGATGTCCTTTGTAGTGATTGGAGTGTAAGTGTCATCTTTTTATACGCACATGCTTTTTTAATACTCTGACATTGAGCTTCTAAATTTTTCTCTGAAGTGTTTATGAATGGTAGAAAGCAATTTTCTTAAAGTTGATGAGAATTAAGCTCTATCACTTCAAACTTACAGTATAGGTGACTGACTTTTTAATAAATGCTAAAGTACATCAACTATAGAAGAGATGCAAGTCCAACTTTTTGTCCAACTTCTGTCAGTATTTTATCATAGTGGAGTGTAGTGTTTGTAAAATATTCTACAAAGTATTTTTAAGTAGAACGCATTTATGCAAAAATGTGTTGGAGACTGTGTGCCTTTTCCCTGAAGTAATTGAGCTAGTTTTTTCTTTCAGCCGCATTGAGTAGGAAGTTTCACATTAATCTAAACATATTCTGGGCATGTAATGTCACTGCAATTACAGAGTGCGTTTTAGTTCAAATGAGACACACTGTACAGAGACCTTGAGTTCACATACTGCCTGACTTCTCTCTTAGACACGGCTTGTGATGGAAAAATACAGTGCATCAGTGGCTACCCGAGGGGTGATACATTCAAATACATCCAGAGCCTTTGCCCACCAACAAGGAGGGATGGGGTTCCGGCCTTTACATAAACCCCAGTGGTTCTTTATCAATAAAAAGGTAAATACTTGATTTTTTTTTTTTTTTTGGTTGGTTGGTTTTTTGGTAAGTTATGGCAATTGAGTGCTATAGGTGAGACTTGCTCACAGTGCTAAATTTTTCAAATATCCTATTTTGATATAATTTACTTCTGAAAAGCAGTTGCTTGAAGAATTACATTGGTATTATTCTTTTAATGGAAAAGTAAATTGGAGACCTCTGACAAAGTCTGATTCCTGTGTCCAAGTCGGCGTACTGCTGGGAGAGTCTTAATCCCAAGTTAATGGAGACACAATCAGTTTTGAAATACTGTGAAGTGTTCCTAAAAGTTTAAGTTTCTATGCAGTTTAAATCACATTAAACTGTTGTGTAAATTTAACAAATTACTGCTGTTATGTTTTATGTGTTCATCAGAAATTAGCTTGTTCATGAGATACCAAAGGTCTTGGCAATTGTTTACATTGGAACTAATACTTCCCTTGCTGTATCTGGCAAAAAATATTGGCCTGGATGGGTGGACAATTCTATAATCAAGAGATAATATTTTCTGAAAACTTTAATGCCCAGCAAAAGGCAAAAATGAAGGACTTGACCATTTTTATGATCTGTATATGTTAACTCTATAACTGCTTGTATTTTTTTCTGGTCTCATTTTTCAGTAGCTGGCATGTAGTCATCCAGCAGGCAAGAAGAAAGTCTGTCTTTTATACAGAGTATCAATGTTAATAATGATTTTCCAGGTTTTTTACTTGTGTTTATTTTCCCCCAACTCTTACAGTATCAAGAAAACTGCCATGCTGCAAAATCTCTCTTTTCGAGCTTCTGTTTACCACCTGAGTGTCTTCAGACAGAGCTATTGCCTTATCTTGCTATGTTAGCAAATCCAATGAGAAACCAAGGTAAGATGGGTGTAACTCTTGATCTTGGACTCTTTTTTTAATTAAAGCATACTGACAAATTTTGTAACCCAAAACGTCAATGCTATCTGTGCTTTTGCCTCAGTTAAAAAAATACTTATGGTAAATGCACATAGCTGATATCTAAAAATGTTTCTAGTAACATAGCCAAAATTAAAACTGTCCTGTTATGTTTGAAACAACACCAAGAACATTTTTAAAACTTATGTAACTGAAAGAATTAAAATAAGTATCTCTCTTGGCAGAAGTGAGGTGTATACAATGCTTTATAAATGCGTAAGATGGGGTCTTCATGTTGGAGTATTTGAAGTCATTCTTCCCTTTTTTTTTTTACTGCGTGGATTTCTGGTATCTGTGTACTTTTGAAGTTCATCAGGTTGCCCTCTCACTTGGTCTCTTAAGGTCCTTGCACGTTTTTTGTGTCTGCCCACATCCTTACTAGCTGGTCTAACTGGGTGGCATCGGCAAACTTGCTCATCTCACTCTTCACTCCCTTTTTTCACAGGGTTACATTTAAGCATGTACTGGATAGCCCAGGTCCTAGCACAGATCTTTGCAGAACTGTATTGGCAATGTTTTTCCATTGCAAGAGTTAACCGTTATCTCATAGCCCTCTCCACGTTTCCTATTCATTAATTATTTATCAGACTTTACAATGTTTTCTTAAGCTTAAGGCTTCTTTTAAAATACTTTAGTAGAGGATCTGGTGAGAAGACTTTTGGAAACCTAGTAGGCAATATGAACTCGATCTTCATTGCTTACTGATCCCTTTCCAGTAACATCAACAGACTCAAAAGGCTTTAAAAAACCTTTCCCAGATAAAGTAAACAAAATCCAAGTTTGTGGTGTATTAAAAAAACTGTGTCACCTGAGGTAATCCAAGAACGGACAGTTCATGCAGAAAAATTAATTTTTGGATGACGTACCATACAAAGTTACTGTTTAGACAGCTGGGTCGCTTATGGTATGTTAATTACTTCTAATAAAAGGCATCATGTCTTAACTAAGGCCTTGCCATCAGGATCAATTAATTTTGTAGGCTATGGAATAATAATTGTACGTCATAAATACACAGTTGATGAATGTCAGGGGTTCTTTCATGTGTAGGCAATCTGTAAATATGGTAATGTGGTAAACAGTTTGGAAAAAAATACACATGCACAGTGTTTTGGTATCCAAAATATCCAAATATATACAGGAATACTTGACTAAACTTATGAATTATTTACTTATCAGAATGTTTAATTGTATGTTCCTTATGATCTACCCAATATGATTCTGTTGATTCTTTGTTCTTAGCTCAGATTGCTTTTATCCAAGACGTTGGGAGGCTACCGCTGAAAAGACATTTTGGGAGGTAAACTTGACTTCTGTCTTTTCTTAAAGAAAGTAAGACTTTCTTTCTTTCTGAATATATTGAGGAAAAGAATCCTCTCATAGAGAAACATCTTGAATGTTCATCTATGATGTGACATTTTCCCTCACCTGCAGCATGATAATTTTATATTTTGCCTGTTAAAACTTTTTCCATTTCAAGGCTATTTATCATTGCAGTGTTAGGAAGTAACATTTTTACTATAGTCTTGCTTTTAATCCTTGTTAAGCTTTCTTTTCCATTGTACCAAATATTAGCTCTGTCCTAGACATTATCTATATTTCTCCAGTGCATGATCTGAATAATTTTTTTCACAACAGAAACATTTACATGAGAGTAAGACTGAATTGATTTAAAGAGTATAGTGTGTTTTGCCTGTTGTTTATCATGACATAAAATACTTTTTAATAGAACATTCTCTTGTTCACATGTGTGTTGGTTAGAGGTATAAGAAAGAAAGTATAATGGAGAATTACCCTTATTTCCTTTGAAACAGTGTATATCTATGGAACTATAAGATACTTTAATGAGTGCCTCCTCTGAAATTAGATAGCAGTACTGCTTTTTATTTTGTGGAATTTTTGCCTTAGAGTAAACCTTTGTTTAGAATGCATTTTTTAAATAAAACTATAGCCACTGAAGTTCCTCTGTCTTAGATATTAAATACTGAAAAAAATACTTTTGATTGCAACTGCAAGACTGTAGTGCTCTACTTACAGATTGTGTAGTGCTCGTGGGGTGACGTGGCATGACATGTTATATTGTGACTCTAATGAGCCTTCTGAATCATAGGCATAATTTATACTAGGGCCTCAGTTACATTTCTATAACTTTAGTAATCTCTGAAATAAAAAAAAGTTGTAATTGCATCTTTTTCTCGTAAGGGATCGAGATCAAAGTTAGCTGGAATAAGACCAACTCTTCCATCTCTTAACCAAGAGAGAGAGTTTGTTAGGGCGTCTGACAAAGTATATCATATTTATCACTGTGGTGTTGCTGTCTGAGTTTATGAAATACTGGTGTGTAAGGTAAAGGCTGTATTACCCAAGAACCACCCTGTTCCCCAACAGTGGTATTAAAAGCCATTTTGCTTGCTAGTCATGAAGAAAGGAAAGTGTCCCTAACTAGTATATTTCTTTGCAATCTCCCTACTCTAAGCCAAAATGTTTGTAAGTTTACAAATTAATTGTAGACTTTGTTATGCCATTACTTTTGTCTGCAGCATACCTTTAAATATTGATAAAGGTTTTGAATCTGCAGGAATAAGTGTGTGTCATTTAGAGTTTTATCTGAGGGGTAGCTTTCTCCTGAAAACATGGTAATCCTTCATTTTTTCACCATTTTGGAAAGGAAGTTTGAGGAACAGATATTTTAGTAAGCATTTGCTTCCTTCAGGAATCCTAATTGAAAATAATTTAATTTGTGTTATTAAGCAGTCCTTAAAATAACCTCTGTGCAGCTGTTGCAATGGGAATAAGACTATTTTATTTGTTTCCTGTTATATTTATTAATGGAATGGGAATGGTACTGTAGTAAGAAAACTGTCATCAAGGAGAGTGCATGGTATTTGATCAGCTGGAATTGGTGTCAGGATGAGTTTTTGTTAGTATCTGTGTAAGTTTTCATTATTCCCATGTAAAGTGGGAAAAATAATAAAGGAACATTAGTAACCTACTGATATAGAGATACTAGAAAGTTTGAGAAGTGCAAATAGTAAAAGAAATTATAAAATATAGAAAGATTTCCTTTCCACTCTTTATTTGCCTGTTTCAAGTTCAGTTGCTCCCTGTTCTAAAGGATTTAAGTTTTACTTGGAAAGGGTCTAGTGTATCATGGGCTGTTGTTTGTAAGTTGTTAGCAGTTCATGTACCTGAGGAAAACAAAGCAAAACTACTGTTGCCATAAGGAAGAAACTTCAAACAATGGTGGGTACTGGAAAGTGATGGAGTACAAACACGATCTGGTGTTTTGCTGTTGCTGTTGGTTTGAGGGTATGTAGCACAGTCTTTTCCCCGAGAGGAACTCCAGTGTCTTCTGTAGGCTATCGTGTAAGCTAGATGGGGTTGAGTTCTGGGCACAAGTATCTCTACCTGGAAGACATGTGCAGAACTGTAAAAACATAATACAGAAGGTAGTGATGTAAGCACAGAATGTGAGTAGCTTGAATTAACTGTGATCAATGGAGACTATTACTATCAGAAAATGTGAAATCCTTAAGCACCAGCGAAGAAGGGTGAGTGACCCGTGTGGTACATGGGTAGTCTTTCCTATTGCAGCATCTCTGTGAGAGAGCAGGAAATGTTCTGTTGCTTGTTGGGGTGGGTTTTTTTCCTCTTTTTATCTTTTTCTCTCTCTTTTTCCCTCTCTCTCTCTTTTTCCCTCTCTCTCTTTTGTAGTAACTTACTGTTGCAGTGATAATTTTACAGGTTAAAGCTTGAAACACTCACTGACAAAGATCCTGGGATACCAGCCATATTTGTTAGCTCTGAGGAGGACTGTACTGATGTGCATGCTGTGGAGATAGCTGTACAGATGGAGAAAACCAGGATGAATGAGAATGAACTGGACGGATTCCCTCTCTCTTCTAGCCAATGCAGTGGAACTGAACTACCTTGCAGTCAGCCTCAGCCTGTTGCAGCTCAAGCAATCATGGAGGAAGATGAATTAAAAATAGAGGAATATGATAGTGACTGAGTACAACAAAATATCAACCAGTGACTTGCCTGAGTAGGTTAATATGCTACAAAGGGCTTTGCTAAAGAGAGTAGTCTGCACAAAAGTACTGCTTTAACTATTAGTTGAAGCTAGGGGGCCACGTCTAAACCTGCCATGTCAGCATTGAGACAGCTCTCCTCAGCTTCCTCTTAACTTTGCGGGATCAGACCTGGCTGAATAATAAATGACAAGCTCTTCCCTGCCTCTCCTGAGCCATGAAATCATCTATATTGATAAAAAGAGTATAATAAATGACTGAAATTAGTTTGAAAGAGACTGTAGATAAGTAGTGTCACTCTTAAGTTATTTTTATTTTTTACACATTTTAATTTACTTTGCAACTGTACAGTATGTTTCCTGAGTACACATTTGATAAGTTGTCAGCATTTGAAGGTTTTATTAAAATTTTTACCTTCAAAAAAAATTGCTGTTTGTAAGCTTGGCCCTACTGAAAGAAGAGATTGAAGTGTATGTGTAAAAAGTTTGATATCCCATACTGTTGATGTAAATAAAACTACTGTATTAATACTGTTTTGTATTCTGCCACAGATTTTTATGTGTTTGGAAATTGAACATGTGTTGACAACAGACTACTTTGGATTCCTTTTTGAAAGATATTTTCATAACTTATGCAGGGTAAAATGTAACAATCAAGCATAAGTCTTTCTCGTTCTTTATATTTTGTAGGAAGTTAATGGTGTAGTATGCAGTTTTTCTCCTTAACTTGCAGTTGTGCTGGGGGGAGAGATAATCCTGGGTTTGGCAACTGACATGTGAGAAGTGTGTTGTGATTGGATAGACCATTTAATACTTCGCTGTTTCTCTGTAACTGAAATTGGGCCATGCAAATCAATCTAGTACATTGCTGTGGTTAGTGATAGCATAGCAATAGGAAAAAAACTCAAACCAACCAACTTTGAATGTGTAATATGTGTTTGCGTTTCTGTATTGCTTACATCCAAAGTTTAGTAGAAGAAAATACATATTTATCCATGATAATTGTGGAATTAATGCTGCTATTAAAGTGTCCAGATTTGTTCTCTCTCAAGGGACAGATGTAGTCGTTACAGCTGTTTAATTTTGAAGAGGGAAATTCTTAAATTCTGTTACAGCTATACTCATTACAGCAAAGTCAAAATGCTTTTGGCTCTTGATGCCCCTTAACTCCTTTCTTCCATATGCATAAACCAATGTGCATAAGCAGTTGCAGGTGAATGCTGAGCTGTGATGTTTTAGGGGGAAAGTCCAACTTCCACCGTGGGTCTAATTCTACTTACTCTGACATCAGTAACAAACCAACAAAAATGAGAGTGATGGTGAGTGCTTCTGAAAGAAACTTTTGTTATTTTACACTCTCATTGATACGGATCCTGCGCTAGAAGGATCAGGAGATCCTGAACACAACAATCTCATAGTCTTACGGCTTGAAAGAAACTAAGCGTATATTTAAAAGCAGCAGAAGACCCCTGGCCCCTTTTCACCCGCAATAAAAGGATTTCTCCGAGCCAACAGGGAAAGCAGCAAAGGATATATGATATCTTTCCTCTTTCCCAGTAAAAATTTTGTTTCTTCCCAAAACCATGTATTTGTTAATGTGTTGGAAAGAAAAACATAGTGTTCTTTTCTTTTTATGGAATATAAATGTGTACATTTGTATTCCTGCAGGGAAGTCTAAACTGTGATTAATTCAACAGGGTATACTAAACAAATCACTGTCTGTGCAAAAAGAAAGTACACAAACCGAAGAGCGGCTCCTAAATAAACGCACACGTACAAAGGCCATGGATGCCAGACTGATGCGTGGGACTTTACGCACCGGCATGCCAACAAATTCAATATATGCACATTGCTGCCGCTTGCCCCGCAGCCACCAGTGTCCTGGATGTGACGGGGAGTCCAGCGTTTCTGGACGTCCGTCTCCATACCCTGACGTCTCTCCCGC